AAAAAAATTATTGTGAACAAATAGACACACATGAATTATAATAATATATAACCTGGGTTTTTTCTGAATTGATAGATAACTTGAATGTGTAAATTATTATTGGCCTTTTTGATCTCGACTACCCGTAACAGTATGCCAGACCGAATCGGTCATAATTAAATCCTTCCTATACTCCCTAATATCTCTCTCTCTCGACTAAATACATCTCTGAGAAAAAAAATTTTCATTTGAATAAGGCTGCTGTTTGCTGGTAGTTTAAGTTTCGCGTTTTGTTAGAGTTAGTGTTCACAACAACACAAACATATTCGTTTCTTCACTTCGAGCGTTAGTAGTTTGTAATGAAAACTGATCACGTACCATGTTAGACAGCAACTTCACAGTTATAAGTTACGAACATCTTGATAAAGTAATGCAGAAAATTTACGTATAGTAGTCATACATTGGCTCAGATTAACAATCAGTGACTGTATAAACAGATTAGTGTCCTGGTTAAGTCAGTTTGCTTTCTGTCCAAAAATTTAGAATCTAGGATACTATCTGGGTGGCATAACCGAAGGTGATTTCCTCAGGAAGATCACTCACCGAGCCTTTAAACCTACAGATCCAGTGGAAAAGACAGAGGGACAACGTTAGAAGATGCAATCCCATCGAGGCCGGTAACCAATAATGTATTCATACGCCTCAATATGGAGGAACTCATATGAACCACCTGTTTGGAATACGAGTTTTCCAACTCATCTAGGTGAATCCTCCATACCCACCAACTCGGTTCGAGACACGGTCAGACACTCATTTTTCGTAATCTCAACTTAGTAAACAAAATCCCATCACAAAAAGACAGTGAATACGACTTCCATATTAGTAACTATATACGTGCAACCATATAAAAAAGGACCCTCTTCACTCTCGGTCGTGCCAGGGGATTTGAGGGCTAGGTTTACAAAAACTAGTGTAAATGTAGAGGGATAAGAAAATGAAACTGGTTAGTAAAAGTTAAAATACCAGCCCCTATTTAAAGATTTGTGTTCAGGAGGTTGGATCGATGGGCAGAACACTTTAGGGAGTGAAGGAGTCGAGCGTGTAGATCGCTTCACTTATCTGGGGAGTCTCATCAATGCTGATAACCTGGTGACTGACGAAATCTCAGCTCGGATACAGAAGGCTCGATTGGCTTTTGCCAATTAACGTCATTTACGCGTAGGCGAGGTTTCTGTCTGCTTACCAAATGACGAGTCTAATGAGCAGCTGTTCGCTCCGTCCTACTATACGGATGTGAAACATGGCCGGTGAGAGTAGAGGACACTCGTAGATTACTTGTCTTCGATCATCGGTGTCTCTGAAGTACTGCTCGTATATACCGGGACAACCGAGTAAGCAATGCTGTCGTTAGAAAACGAGCACTAGAAAAGGATAGCAAATCAATAAATGAAGTACTGAAACTTCAGTTGAGGTGGTTTGGACATGTGTTACGTATGCCGAACCACCGACTACCTCAACGAGCTGTTTTGTGGTGTAGGAGTAGGTTGGAAGAAAGCTAGGAGTGGCTAAACCAACACGTGGTAGAAATCCGTGGAGTCACTGATAAGTAAACTGATAGATGTAGGCTATCTGGTTGGGGTCGGCGAGACGAAAGTCACCAGAGACCTTGAACGACATGGCTCAAAATCGTTTGCAATGGCGCAGGTGCATCCACTCTTTGTGTGCTTTTAATTCTAACCTTCTGAATTCCTCATAATCTCTATCTTTCTCCTTCTAAATTTATCTTACTGAATTATACTCCTCGAATCATATCTTCGAACCATAATCTTCTCCATTACTGCTAATACTTCTACTACTATCTCTACAACTATGGGATTTGAACTGATAGTTGCGTCTCTGTGATAATGCGGTATGGCAACCTAAACTGATGTATCGATGTACGAGGTTCTACGTTGTACCTGACTGACTACTTTGAAGATAATAAAACAGAATAAATTTCTGCATAAAAGGCATTTCTTGGTGTGTATAATAAATTCCATACTCGGGTAGATGCTTTTAGTGTGACGGTTTGTGAGTTAATTAGCTTAATTGAGAAGCTTTCATTGCTGTTTTAGACATTTCCAGAGCCCGATAATAATATAAGGTATCTTATCTTACAGTATTCTGCACTCCTCGTTTTCCTACATCTACCTAATTACACTATTGAGTCAGTTGTAGTGAAATTTTTTTTATCTTACATGCATGTAATATACAAACTTACTTATTGGAGATCAATTCCCCAGCATAAGTGGTACTGGCACGATAGGTGCCACTTGAAACTATCATAGATGAATTATCTGAGTCTTTGAAGCTTTTCGCATTTGTTTTACAATCTTCCATGTGATTATTAGCAAGTGTAAACCATGCTATCGCTTTGCCATACACCTTGTTTTCTTCTTCATTCAAACCAGCATAATAAGCCATGATTGATGAATAAAAACTAGTCTTTATTTGACATCGACGACGCCATTCCTGATATTTTTTAAAAAAAAGGCACACATTAAAATACAGACAATGCTAAAACACAAAAAAAAGGACATTCAAATTCACCCATACATTGTCCACAAACCATTGAACTATGAACACAATTTGATACAGTGTGGTCCTTACCTTACTTACTTATTATACTACAAAAGTAACTTGATGTTTTGTTATTCAATGTCAAAAAAAAATTTAAATATATCAAATAAATGGAAGCATTGAGTGCTATATAATCAATCATATAATAGGTGGTTGGAAGTAATCAGGAAGAAGTTAGGACCTAGAGACCGGGCTAGTTGTTGGCTTCACTTATCTTGGGAGTCTCGTCAGTGCCGATGGCCTGGTGACTGACGAAGTCTCAGCTCGCATACAGAAGGCTCGATCGGCTTTTGCCAACCTGCGTCACTTATCGCGAAGGCGAGATATCCGTTTGCTGACTAAAAGATGAGTGTACTGCTCAGCACTTCGCTCTGTCCTACTATACCGATGCGAAACATGGACAGTCAGAGTAGAAGATATTCGTAGGTTACTGGTTTTCGATCATAGGTGTCTTAGAAGCATTGCTCGTATATCCTGGGACACCCGAGTGAGCAACGCTGTTATTAGAAAACGGGTGCTAGGTAAGAGTGGCAGATCAATAGGTGAAATGGTGAAACTTCATCAGTTGAGATGGCTGGGACATGTGCTGAGTATGCCTAACCAACGATTGCCTCGACGACCTTTGTTTTGTAGTGTAGGAATAAGTTGAAAGAGAGCTAGGGGCGGCCAAACCAAAACGTGGCACAAATCCATGAAGTCATTGACTAGTGGACTTAGCCCTGTCGGTAATTGTCGACTACCTGGTTGGGGTCCGCGAGATGATAATAATCGATGGTTAGAGACCTTGAATGACATGGCTCAAAATCGTTCTCAATGGCGCCAGTGCATTTATTCTTTGTGTTCTCTCTAATCCTATTCTTCTGGGTTCTTCAACAACTCTAGTTTTGACTTTCTAAACTTTTCTCACTGAATCATACTTCTTGAATAATATCTTCTCACCCTAACCTCTCCGATTAGTTCTAATACCTTTATACTACCTCTTCTACTATTGGATTTGAATTGACAATTACATCTGTGTGCTGATGTAGTATGGCGACATGAACTGATGTACTTACGTACGAAGTTCTACGTTGCATCTGACTGACTGACTGACTTATACAAGTATGTAGAAATTCTCAGTTACAGAAAACAAAAGGTATGGGGTAATAATGACTAAAAAAAAGAAACATACTTTGTAATATTTTTGGGGGACTATTTTATCACTAGACTCAAATCCTAACAGCTGAGCACCAATATTTTCATAAATTTCCATAATGTATTGAGATAATTTAGCAGTTACATTAGCTGGTCTATTATCCAATATGGACTTTTCTACAACGCATTCTTGAGCTTGTACCTGAAAAATTATTATTTTGAAATGAGATTGCCAGTGAATTATTTATTCGATTAAAAAAAACAATACACTTGAATAAAAAGATCATATATCCATGTTTTTGAAAATTAATTATACTTGTCATGTTCACAGAAATCTTTGTTTCGACTCGTCGAGCTTTGTTTTATAGTGTAGGAATAGGTTGGAAGAAACCTAGGGGCGGCCAGACCAAAACATGGCAGAAATCTATGAAGTCATTGACAAATAGACTTAGCCATGTTGGTAATTGTCGACTACCTGGTTGCGGTCCGCGAGATGATAATTATAATCGATGGTTAGAGACCTTGAATGACATGGCTCAAAATCGTTCGCAATGGCGCCGGTGCATTTATTCTTTGTGTTTCCTCAAATGCTAATCTTCTGGATTCTTCAACAACTCTAGTTTTGACTTTCTAAACTTTTCTCATTTAATCATACTTCCTGAATAATATCTTCTAATTCTAACCCCTCCGATTACTTCTAATACCTTTACTACCTCTTCTACTATTGGATTTGAATTGACAATTATATCTCTGTGCTGATGTGGTATGGCGACATGAACTGATGTACTTACGTACGAAGCTCTACGTTGCAACTGACTGACTGACTGACTGACTTGTTTCGACTCAGGAAAAAAATTATATATATATATATAAACGAGCGAGCGCCTAAATTATGGTTTTAATTAAAAAGTTTGGGAAGACCAGTCTCAAATCGCTTTCTTTGGCAAAAGTCCAATAAAAAATGTCGTATGAGAATCCCACATGTGTGATTATCAGATTGTAAAAGTATCTGGTTTCAAATAGATCACAACCACTTTTTGCTTTTTAAACACTGACCTTAATCCCACGTAACCAAAAAGTGTATGAATTAGCAGAATAATATTTACAAATTATGGATTAGTATAGATCGAAATAGATTAGAGTTGATCACATAGGTTCATTCTTATTCCTCCTCACGCGGTGGCAATAGTCATCAAATCTCTTCAGTTATTGAATATATGTTCGTAATGTGACTATATTTAAACCATGTACTATCAGCGTTTAGAGATTTTTCACAGTGATAGATAATATTATAGATCCAATGCAAACTCCAGTTGGTGTTATTTAGTAACTGGAAGTGAAATTATTTATCTAAATGGAAGTGATGGTGTTAGTGATTGGATATGAAATCTTAACGCTACTTATTAAACTTTGTGATCAGTTAAAAGCAAAGCATTTTAGTATCCACAAACAAATGATAGAAATACTCAGTAGTAAGGTGAATTTTTAATTCCAAGGAAGATTATTAATCTTCAGAGATTCATATTCTAGAAGTTTACAACCAGTATCTCGAACTGCAATCACTTGACTGCCTTGAGCTTTATGGACAGTAAACTGAATCCTATTTCACTATTACTGAACTTTAGTGAGATTATTAATCGACAAATAGAGTACAAAAACAACTTACTAACATCAACGACCCGAAAAGTAGCATAAGATCATTGTTCAAGTCCTTTACACCTGATAAAGGTAGGTGACGCTCAACTAGTGTATTCAGAGCCCAAGAGGCACATTGAAAATGAGTACAAGCGATTTTCATGCTCTGAAACATAAGAGTAAATATAACTTGCCGTATATATCGAAACCTGGAACCATGATTTTCTAATAAAATGAAAACAATTTCCACAACTATCGATTGAAACTTGTTTTCAAATATATTAACACATTTGAGTGACATCTTATTTCTTTTAGAGTGAACAGCAAAATTACATTAACAAATACGTGTGGATGTAATCCTGATCTAACTACTCAACTCCAACCACTTATCATAATAAAGATGTCTATAGCTAAGCTCGGGACACACCAGGTGGATGTGGCATCAATAAACATAAAATAGATGCCTGACCATTAGAGATATCTTCAAATAAAATTAAGATGCACTCTCATAATTTTAGAATGAAAACATACGAACTAGGGTTGAATCTATTTAGCATAGTAAACACACGGGGCCAGATGTTATGAACATCGAAAGGTTTAAGGTACGAGCTTGGAAAAAGTGCCGTTCACTACTGTATATCCACATGCTTTTGAACCTGATCTACCCTTTCAATATATTTTTGGCTTAAATTACAAAGCACCATAATTTATGAGTTTTAACTACAAAACGCCATGGATAATCCAAGGTATGAGTATAGAAAACTGCAAAGCATATCACAAAATAATAAGCTCTGTCATTTGAATTCATCATAAAAACAACCAATAAGTTAGAAACCAGGCTGATACTTACGTCTGCATCTGTTCGTTTCTCTTTGATGCCCAAAATAGAATGAAGTGCGGCAATGTTGTACATAACGGATGCCTCCTCGAACCGAATTTCCGATGACTCCACATGGGAATCCGAAAAAATATCTTGCCTACGTCGAATAAGTATTTTAAAACAGGTGGTTACCATTTCCACGTTACATCTGTACAAGCTGTAGCAGAAAAATGAAACCTCGCCTTGAGTAGCTGCAACTGGGCATAATACCGTTTCAGATGGGAGAGACCAGTATAATCAATAGAAGGTTCACAGGCACACTATTAACAAATAATATGTGAAAACTTCACCATACTTTTCGTAAACTTAGAAAATCGTTGAATTCCTTCTCAAATGAACTAGAAGAATTCTGATATTGCACTTCTATGTACTAAGGTATTAGTTCATTGTAGTAATTTCAATATACTCTTTTTAATGGTTGTAGATCAGGAACAAAATCAGTCTTTTTCATGGGCAAACTGATAACCGGGAGCCTAGGAAGTCCATCCATCCTTGACCTTGAGTGAATCAAATTTCCCCCAATATCCAATAAATCCAATAACTTTTTCACAAGCCAGTATAAACCAATCGATTACTTTGCACTTGGTCCGTGTTCTTTCAGTACGGGCAATTGTTAATAAACACTTAAATCTTCCGGATGATCGCTTTCGTGGTTATTTAAGTTTCCGCAGAAGCTGCTGAATCATTGTTCTTCCGTATTTGTTGTTGCGTGTGGAATATAAAGGCTAGGTCATCTGCGAAGTCTAGATCCTGCAGCTTCATACAAGCTTTCAGTTGTATCAAGTTGGATGTCTATGGAAGCTTTCATCTAATTTTACAACACTACTGAAAACTTATCGTGCAATTGAGAGGAGAGCGATGCCTCCATATTTTTCATACTTACTGAAGTCCCTTTTCTTTGGTGTTTTGATGAGGTATCCTTCTTTCTAGTCTATAGGTAGCTTTTCTTATTCCCAAATCTTACGGAAAAGGAGGTTAAGCACCGTTACGGCAACTTTGATGTCTGCTTTCATTATCTCAGCTGGCCTTTTGTTTGGTCCTACTGACTTGTCTTATGGCCATGCAGATTCCTTCTATTATTGGCGGGGCAAAGTCCTAAAGCTGCGCTCCGGGGCTAGTCTCTCAAAAAGCTCCACAATAGTTCCGCCCACTTGTTGTGCTATTCTTTGATCTCAGCGATCGGTTCGTTTTCCTTTTTCTTAACTGCCTTTGAAAAAGAAATAAACATAATGGGGTTTTTTAAAGATTCCCATTGTGAAAATTAGAACAACACATATAAGCGAACAATATTGTTTTCGATTAGATCGTCATCAGGCTTTACTCTAATATACATGAATATTTATATGAAAATGTTAAACCAATCAAGGCAATTTGAGTGATAATCACAATGAAATGAAAAAGATTACGTAACTACATCTAATAGGCAAAAGTTCAAGTGGATAATAGGAAAACAGGTGTACTGATAGTAGTAAGAAAATTTGTAAAATATGATAACTAAAGTAGGTCAAGGGTGGGAGAATAGAATTCAAATAATCATCAAAAACGTCAAAAACATTACGTAATAAGCAAATTTATTTTATTTTTACACATTTGCTTATTACGTAATGTTTTTGACGTTTTTGATGATTATTTGAATTCTATTCACCCACCCTTGACCTACTTTAGTTATCATATTTTACAAATTTTCTTACTACTATCAGTACACCTGTTTTCCTATTATCCACTTGAACTTTTGCCTATTAGATGTAGTTACGTAATCTTTTTCATTTCATTGTGATTATCACTCAAATTGCCTTGATTGGTTTAACATTTTGATATAAATAATGGGGTTTATGCGATTGGACGGTATGAAATATTCCATTTTCCACTGTGTCTAATACTTACTGTTTTATCCTTTCTGAGCAGTTTACTTTTTCAATAAAACTGTCTCTTATACGCAGCCACCAAATTATTCAGTGGTTAGATATCCTGCAGCGTATTTCGGGTTATCTATCAACCTGGTATAAAGTCGTCTTGAAGAACAGGTCGCATCATTCCTTTAAAACTCAAGTAGACACCTATTGATGCTAGTTTCTTATCACCCGATTTATGTAGCTGTGCGCACAATCAATCGAAAATTCATTCACCAAGAGATAGTCGGATGGACTAGCCAGGTCGTTCAGGCATGGCCGCAATAAGTAACCCTTTGCTTTACTGACTGCTCCTGATCCAGCCTGTTAGTTTTATTTAGAAGTCTTAGAGAACTTACTGGTGACTGTCATGATGGTACGCGTTAGCTAGACTTCTATGGAAAATCTTGTTGATCAGGTAGTCACACAATGGGATGCTATAATAATGGAATAAGTCAATTATTTTAGTAGTATAGACAAATGCACTAATAATATCTTTGAACCAATTCGTGCAAGAAGACTTAGCAGAAGATGAGACGAGAAGAAAATTTTAGGGTATGTAGATATTGAAAAGAGTGAATTCCCTGTGTTTAACTAAGTGCTTACAGTATCGTACAGTAAAGTATATAACTAGAAGTTCGCTCCTGAAATTACCACACCTTTGTTCCCAGAAACTTTCAGAGGCCCTTGACAAGACAGATCTTTTCCATGTCCAACATTCTCGGTGAGTTTTGAGTAATCGCCGATCACTTTTATGAATAACTTGAAAGCTTTACATTTAAATTTCTGGTTAAAATATGCTAGTAAGCCTTTCTATAATCAGGATCATAATTTTCATCCACATACAGATCTCATAGGACAAACAGTTCACCAATACTGTCAAGTAAAGTTGAAACTTGTATCTGAAATCGACTCGCTGACTACCCACCATTTATAGGAAACAAAGTTAGAGTTGCATTTTTAAGTTTCATGTTCTCTTCAAGCGTAATATATATTCACTCAATTCTGATATCATTTTCCTCCTAAAATTCTTAACTTGAGTACCTTCCCCATCAAATTACCTCGTTTACCGTCCTTAAATCTTCAGTAATATCGTTGCTACCACTTCTTACAGTATAACAACCAGGCAAACTAGTAGACATATGTATCCCGGAGTAGGTGATGCGTCCAAAATAGCATTTTTGAGTGACACAGTTGTGAAAAAACTCAAAACGTTAGTCGATAGTGTATTTCAGAGTAATGTTTAGACCTACCAAAACACCTCGCCAAAGTCTCCAACAAAGAAACAAGGATGACAGTGCTCGATTTTCTACTTTTAGTAAGACCAGTGGACAAAATAAGAGTAGGAGAAAAAGGCATCCTAAGACTCGATCGACATAGCACACTGTTCAGAAGGCACACAACAGTAACTGTATTACCTATCAAAACCAGAGACTCTGTATTTGAATGCAACTTCTACAGTTCATGGGTGCATTGTCACTGTGACGCTACAGTACTTAGCCAGTACGATGGGTTCATTCTGAGACACCCCTGTCTGTCGTTCTGGTATATCTGTCCATAGTGCAGAATCACTGAGACAGAAAAGGTATAGACCACACCAAAAATGAACCTACGAATCCGCCCAAGTAAATTGGACTCACTTGGCACCCAGCTGGCGACAAAAATAACCTTAACTCGAACCAACACACCGACGAAACTGCCGGTTCTCGCAACCTCATAGTATCTGTTAATAGCGTGGAGCAGTAGGTGAGTATAGCAGAGGGAAACGATAACACCACAGTTAGCAAAATGCTACAAATCAAGAATGTCAGAGAAAATTTACTAATATTATTTATTATTCTAGTGTCAGAGGGTAACTTACTGAAAAGTAGAGCTGACTTTGATAAAGAACTATGGGACAGTCGCTTGAATGAGCAGTGCCCCGGCCAAAATATGCCGTCTTTTCATGGGTCGCTTAAAGTAAACCTTAGGCTCAGCACAAATTGCATACCAGAGACCCTCGGCCAAATTATCCTGCTGGATGCGGCTCAGATACAACAAACCGTGGTCAGTACTAGCAGTAGCCAGGACATCGAAAGTCATCCGAGAGCTGTCCAGTATTCTAGTTCAGGGCCCGTTAATGGTAGCTTGATGTAGAATTCTTTTTGAATGTTTTGTTTTTTGGAAAATCCCTCCATGTTTACATATTTTTGCTATGACATGATGGACTTTTTCTCTTGACATTTTCGGTATTTTATTTGAGTCCAATTTGAGAATTTATCATTGTATATTGTTATTCTTTCTATATTTGTACTTATATTGAAGTTTTTGTGTTTGCTTCTGAACTGTACATATATTGTTTAAATTTGATATAATATGGCTACCGCCACATTTTTGGACGGACGCGGTGGCTGCTGGACTTAGTGTCACTTACTAGCTATTGTGTTGGATACTCTGCGGAGTAACTTAACCCTGGAAGAAACACAAATTCCGTAAGGCCTTGTATTTCCATTTTATAATAATATAGAGACGTTTTCTCCTAGAATTTTGCCCTTTTTGATTTGGTCGGGACCCGGAACTAGGAAAAACGTACAGGAGTGTTTCTATAGGAAACAATTGGGACAGCCACTGTCGAAATAAATCTACAGTCTGGAATTTTCTTCTATTTTGAATTATACTTTGGAAATATTCATCGGAACGTATATATTTTGGAACTATTCGGATTATTAAGAATTATAAAGAAACATTTGGAATTTTAATCGTTTATCGTATTTTTGAACTGAACTGTGGAATTACTCTATTTTGTATCTGTTACCTTTCGTATTGAACCCCATTTATAATGTCAAGCAGGAAGAAAGCAAACATGAGGACGGTGGAAGAGCTCGACGGATCACAGGGCTCTAGGCAAGTCGTTAATGATAACTTTTTTATGGGTAACCCACATGTTATGTCTGATATTTATTATTGTAAGTCACCCTTGGCAGGCATTAAGGAATCAGGATTAAGTGAGAGTCCTAAAGTACCAGAGACCGATCAGATACGAAAGACATCGATGGAGGGTTTAGAATTACCTAAGGTTGAACTCTCATTTTTTGATGGAAGGTCTCGCGACTATTTTAGGTTCATACGACAAATAGAGACGTTTATAGAACCCCGAGTAAAGGA